TTAGAGAAAAAAAGGAAATAAACATTATAGTAAGTTAGTAATGATAAGTTTAATGTTGTTGCTGTTATTATCCTCATTATCATTATTATTATCATCATCATTATCATCATTATCATTATCATTATTATTATCATTATTATTATTATTATTATTATTATTATTATTATTAATATTATTATTATTATTATTATTATTATTATTATTATTATTATTATATTATCATTATTATTATTATTGTTATTATTTTTATTATCATTATTATATCATATTATTACTATTATTACTATTATTATTTTGTTGTTGTTGTTGTTGTTGTTGTAGTTGTTGCTGTCTTTATTAATTGTTATTATTATTGTTATTGTTATTATTATTATTATTACTATTAATATTATTACTACCACTGTTATTATCATTATTATTATTATTAACATTATCATTATCTCTATCAACATCATCAATATCATAATTATCTTTCTCAATAACAGTATCATTATTATTATCATCACTATCATTATTATCATTATCATTATTATTATTATTATTGTTGTTATTATTATTATTATTACTATTATAATCAGCGTTACCACCGTCTATTTTCTACCTCTGCAAATGCTGAATCTCACTGTGAACAGAACACACACCCAGTTTACCCCCGTTTACTATATATCTCATTAAGCAAGACTGGATGCCCGCACACGCACGCCCTTTTTACTTTCTCGAGCTTCCTCCGGCATTTCAGGCATTTTTCTCTGTCGCAAACACATACTCTACTCCTTTCTATTCCACAGAACCAACATAATTTATCCGTCTTCGAGCCCTGTAATCTACATCCCACTGGCTGGATAATTCGCCACGGTAGGTTCTTATGGCTCAGTGTATACATGTGCCGTTATGTACGTGTATCCGGGTTCACTTCGCGCCCACCTGGTTACAGATATTGAGGGACATCATTGAGGAGCTGAATGTGTGCAATTTCTGGTCTGAATTATATGATCCTATTCAGTGGTAATGTTGCGCTACGTGGCTTCTTCAGACAGACAGACAGACAGACAGACAGACAGACAGACAGACAGACAGAGAATGAGAGAGAGAGAGAGAGAGAGAGAGAGAGAGAGAGAGAGAGAGAGAGAGAGAGAGAGAGAGAGATGCACGCATACAGACGTACAAATTCATGTATGCGTGTGAATAGATAGATAGATAGATAAAAAGATAGATATTGATAGAAAGCTATGGATATATATAGAGAGGTAGAAAGATATATACATATAGATATAGATATAGGTATAGATATATGTACATATATAGATATATAGATATAGATATAGGTACATAACTAGCTAGATGAATATCCGAATAAATGCATTATTAAGCTTAAGTTTCTTCACGTGTCAAAAAAGCACTATTCTAATGGGAAAATGTGATAAAGTTCATTATCATGCTGCATCTGGCCTTGGTCGTGAGCTTAACACGAATTCGAAATGTGTTTATGATAATGCTATCACGGCCGAATCTTCCTTTTAATCAGCCTTTACAACCTCAGTTTCAGATTTACAGTTTCTGAAGCCCACATATCAATCATATCAAAAGCCATAAAATCGAGAGATATCTAAAATTAACACTTATTTGGATTAGGGGTAGAACTGCCTCATAAATATATCAGAAGAACTCCAATTCCCACAGCAGAGGATCGAGGGGGTGCATCAGGGGAAGACAGGTCACGCAAGTAGACCAGGTCAAATCAAGTCATGGGGAGTATCATGAACTTGCAGGAGTAGAATTGCAGAGCAGTGTGTAACGCAGGCGAATATAGGTGATTGTCGAAAAGGACATTCGAGGAGAAAGAACAAAAAACGGAAAAGGAAGAATGCACAGAACTGGAAAGGGAAATTCGTGTCTTCTCTAATTCAAGGTCGCCGTCCACATTTCCCCGACAGAGAATAGAATGTGGGACGAAGGAAATCCAATAATGGTTTTGAGTAATTGTCCTCGCAGCGCGCGTGAATCTGCAAGGACACAAACAGGTGTGTGTGCGTGAGTGTGTGTACACACATACACACACACACACACACACACACACACACACACACACACACACACACACACACACACACACACACACACACACACACACACACACACACACACACACACACACACACACACACATACATGTACATAGGAATTTACAGCTACGTTCTATTTCACATTTAGCTATCAGTTCGGGAAATACCTATTTAGGTTTCTCCGAAATTTCGTTTTCCTTCAGCAATTCCGCCACAAGTTCCCAGCAAGTCAAGTCAAGTCAGAGATTCGTTTTAAGCGGAGTCTGATTCCAAACAACAGTACGTCAAGAAATTGGATTCCAAACGGCTGCGATGCTACGTTTCCATTACTGCAACATGGAGGAAACTTCACTGGAAATGTGTATTTCATGTCGAGGCATCACGGAAATACCCTAAGCCATGGGCAGATGGTATACTGGAAGGGAATCTGAACGCTTTGGGGAACGTAGAAGAATATTTGTTGAGAAGAAATTTTTAGTGACGGTTATACATAGTGATGGTTAATTCTATTGAGGGTTAATCCTAATGATTGTTATTCCTAACGAGGGTTGATCCTAATGATAGTTAGCTCTAGTGTCAGTTAATCCTAGTTAAAGTTAATCCTAACGACCAAAGACATAGTTCATCACCATAAAAAACACCGTCAGTTGAGCTCCTGCATACAAGAACTAGATTCGCCGTGAATAAAAGATATTTTCGTTCTCGATGATGACTTACAATACAGGAAGGCAATCATTACATACGGCTTCAGTGTGTACAGGAAAGGGGTAGTTTGTTAAACCCGAAAACCTCGCAGGAACATTCATACAAGACTCTTACAAACAAACAAACAAACAAAAAACAGACACAAATTAAACAAACAAAAACCAAACACAACTTATACCAACAAACAAAAATATCGAATCCACAAACACCAACCTCAATTACGTCGTAACGCAATAGGTATTGTGCCGCCGTGACCGAGGAACGTCGCCCGCGGCTCAAGCGTCGGGTCTCGATTCGCTGAAGGAGATCCGAGAGGTTTCGATCCTATGATGGAAGGCTTGAGAGAGACGGAGGAGTATTAGGTGCTTTTGGGGCGCGGGTGTTTTGTCCGCTTGTTTTGTTTTGCGCGTCTGTGTGCATGGATGTGGCTGCTGGGCGTGTCTGTTCATCTATGATTAAATTTGTATGGATGAACGGAAACACATGATTGAGTAGTTTCGGATTGGATACAATCTATAGCTAAAGAAATAATAGAACGAGATTAATAAGAAACGAAAGAGAAACGTTCAGCGAAAGTCCAAAACGAATTTAAACGATAAGTCGATTTTTTTATCGCAGAAATAACGGAGGAATAATAACATCAGTGCATGTCCTTTAATCCTCTCCGGTTCTCCTACTTCCCCTCTCTCGTCAGCTCTCCCCTTTCCCAAACACGATTAACAGTCACCCCGTCCCTCTCTCCCTGTCTCGTCTTTCTCCCGCTCTCTCTCCCTCTTCTCGTCCGCTTTTGAAAGCGTTTCTTCGGTGTTATCCTTGTCCTGCATCGCTCTTTGTAGGCCTTGGTTCACTTGCCTCTCCCCGCCAACTCTCGCTGGGCTGAAAACTGCCTCTTTTTCTTCTGTGCCGATTTTAGGTCGCCTATGCCCTAATTAACTTTAATAACTTTTAGTTCATTTTGCCTCACCCTCGTCAACACCCATTAACTCTTGCTTCATTCGCTTACCTCGGCTGCTGCTTTTCTCATTTTAGCTTCCACTCTGCGTTCTCCACTTTTTCTTCCCCCTTTCCCATGTCCTTCCCCATCACACATCCTTCAAAGTCGCTTCTCTCTCCCTTCCATACACGCCTCTTCCCTTTGTGCCTTTCAATATGCCTCATCAGAATTATGACCCCTCTCCTCTCTCCTTCCCCCACCCCTCTCCCCTCTCCTCTCACTTCACCTCCCACCCCTTTCCCCTCTCCCCTCACCTCAACTCCCACATCTTTTCCCTCTCCCCTCACCCCTCATCCCTTTCCTTCCTCATCCCTCTCCCCTCGCTTCTCACTCATCTCTTCTCTCATCTCACCTCCCACTCCTTTCCCCTCTCCCCTCCCTTCACCTATCCTTCCTTCATCCCTCTCCCCCCCCCTCACTTCTTACCCCTCTCCACTCACCTCTCCTTCCCTCATCCCTTTCCCCTCCCCTCTCCTTGTCTTACCCCTCTCCCCTCTCTGCTCTCCACCCCTCTCCCCTCTCCCCCCCCCATTACTCTCTCTCAGATCTCACAGTCTCCTCTCCTGTTGCGATTATGCTCTCAGACCCCTTTTTATTCCCCTCACGTCGTCAGGGGTTCACTTCCACTTCCATTCACTGAGCTATTGGACTCAGTTGGGAATCCAATACTCAGGAGGATAATTGTCTCCTTAAAACGTGTTCTTGAAGCGAGTCATACAGCTCTCTCTCTCTCTCTCTCTCTCTCTCTCTCTCTCTCTCTCTCTCTCTCTCTCTCTCTCTCTCTCTCTCTCTCTCTCTTTCAGCCCCTACTCTCACTTTCTCATAATATCTCATACTCTTTCTCATACTTCCCCCCTCCGTCTCTTCCTCATCCACACAAGTGCCACATAATAAGCTTCGTGCCTTCAAAAAGCAAGAAAAAAAACGAATCGTTTGACTTGACTTGACGACCATCCATCTATCCTGGAACGCAAAAGAGCCATAGCTAGCAAGGGACTGGGACTCTGGTCAGAGAGCGTGCCAGCCTTGGTTCCTTAAGCCCGCCAACAAGTCCATCCTTTAAAACCATTTAGGATTCCCTTTACCTTAAACCCACTTATTCTTCCATACTCCATAAAGCCACGTACCAATCGGTGTTCCTTAAACCCACGTACCAACCCCCATTCCCTCGCCCCACGTGCCAATCCCTGTTCAATAAACCTCGATTCGGTCCCCATTTCTGATACGAATATCATGTT